CAGATACTGCAGTAATAGTGGCAATTGGCAGGAAGCTGGATCTGCAAGACTTTCTTCGATAGTCCTGCGAATTTCCTTTATTGTTGTTGTTGTTTTCATCGCCATAGCTTCTTGTTTGCGGTTGTTCGCGAATTGACTGATTAAGTGNTGTTTTCATCGCCATAGCTTCTTGTTTGTGGTTGTTCGCGAATTGACTGATTAAGTGAGCGCAATAATCCTCGGGTATTTAAAATTTTCAATGAAACATGAAACTTTTTTAAATTATTCAACGCCATCACTGCTGCAAAAATCCGCGTATTACCGATTGTTTTACATGCATCAGCTGATTGATCTTCTTCTTATCTGCGAACAATTCCTAATGGCTGAAGAAAAGTGTTGGATAACGTGTTTTTTATTTAAGCTCTTTGATGTGGTATGTTTTATTAAGGAACGAAAGAAAGTAAAATGTACATTTACGTTCTTTGGTAAATCTAAAAGAAGGGGAAACCAGAGAACGTTAAATATTTATTTAATTTTTATTTTTAAATATTTATTTTAAGTATTTAACGATTTCTGTTTTCCGTATTCAAGGCGAAAATAAAAAATCTGCCGCGGACAGAGTCAAAACGGAGACGAATTCCTGTTGCAAACGTTTCAGATACGGTCAAAATCAGCGCGGCACATTTTCAGAGTAACGAGTTCCCCTTATAAATTTATCTTCTTTGGTAACGTTTGCTTTTAGTAGATTTGCGTTCTTTGGTATTTACGTTCTGGGAAACTTCATTCAGAAAGTTTGTGGGGACCGTAGCTTCACCTCACCCTAATAGATAATGTGGAAAAATTCCACTAGGTACGACAGCTCTGGTGCTCAGCTGATATTTGACATTTCACCATGTTACTGAATTTCAGCTAACTTCAGTTTTATAGCAATTTTTTCTTGCGATTCGCTAAAATTTCTTTGGCTCTGTTCATGGACTCTGTCTGATTCCAGAAAAACTTCGTGGTTGAAGGGATGAAAGTGAAAATACCTAATAATTTAATTAAGAATAGTGTAGTTTAAATTGGGCGTGGTTGAAATGGAAGTGTTCCAGACTGATAATTATTACATTTTCGTGAAACGCGAGAAGAGTTTGTGGTGGCATCGCAAGACGTCCGAATTTACAATCAAAGCAGGTAAATATGAACAAATTAGCCTGTAAAGTAGTAAAACAATCAATTATTACTTTATTGATAAGCATACTCGTTTTGGAGGCGTTCCGTGAATAACGCATTGCATTTAGGCTTGGAGTCAATGAATGCGCATTAATGAAACTTCGATTGATTAATATACTTACATATGTATGTATGTGTACATATTACAATTACACGCGAAATCAGGATTTCTCCAATTCGTTTTACCCGTTTATGGCCGTCGCTCCCCCGCATCATTCTGATTATTATTAAGGCGACCTTCAATGTTGCATGCTGCTGGCGCTTATAGCTAGGGGGGCAGGCACTATTGTTTATCTGACTTTGCTTTGCTAGGGTTCCCCTTCCATGAACGTAAAACAAGCATTGTGGAGAGGGTGTAAATATACATTTTGCGTTTAGATTGGCTGATTTGAGCGCACAAAAATTGCATTAATTTTAATCACAATAGAAGTTTTCCAGTCGTTTGTTATTGTATTCATATTTGGCCCCCACCGCAGCGTGCACGTTCAAATGTACTTAATACATATAATAATTATAATTACTTATCTGTTTTAGGAGTAAGGTTGCTGGTCTATGGTTCTACCAGCCAATACAATTACAAAACACTGCTTAATGTCGACACTTGTTTGGATATTGAAAGCTAGTCGTTGGGTATTATTTACATATAATGCTGTGACATCTTTTTCCACATTATGACTCATGTGCATACATATATGACAATTTATTTTGGTTTAAACCCTGAGTTTATTCACCTTTAACTCGGCTGCATACTTACTTGCAGGTTTACAAGTGTTAAACAAACGTTGCGCATTACATGTTTACATACATATTTCATATGCACTTTTTGGGAAAAATAAATTGTCCGTATAAAATCCTCTATATTTAAAAGTTAGTAGATATGTAATCGAAGTACGCTTAAGTAGTTCTTTTCAAAATAAAACTCCATCTAACCTTTCTACGCATCCGTGTTGATACGTAGCGCTATTTGCATGTATATTTAATGAATCTTTCATTTCTATCAAAGGCTTCGATAAACATATTGCTTAGTCAAAGTCGAAATCAACTTATGCTGCTTAGCTTCAAGACTGATAAGGGACAGTTATTATCTTTATAATAAAAATCAAAATTTAACCGCTAAAGTTGGACTTTTATTTTCCTCATAAAATTTAACAGTTTTTATTTTTAATGTTTTTGGGTCAAATTTTTGTTCTTGGTTTTGATTAAAATGTTTTTCGATCATATTACTTAGTTTACTGTCTACGCGAAATGACAAATTTTATCTAGCATTTTTGTTTAATATTTATACCCAAGAACATGAAAAATAAATTGTTTTTAACCGACTTCTAAAAACAGGATGTTATCAATTATATATGTATATATGTTTCTTTTGTGTATTTTAACGCATAACGTTAATAACATTCGCAGTATTTTCGTGTGGCTAAGTGAAGCTCATATTCACAGCATAGATAGTTGATTACATTTATCGCTGGTAATCTGGAAATTAGGTAAATATTGTAGCTTGTCTTTCGAAATGTATTTATTTATTTCAGGCTATTTAGTTACGCAATTATTACTTTCACTTACTCGCGTGCATAGTTAATAGGAAATTAGTTTAGATTTATGGTAGTGATTTAAGTATAAATGCAGCATGCATAGTGGTCAAATTGCTAGTGCGGTTTCAAGGCATACATACATAGTACGTATGTATGTAGGTATGTATAGTACAAATTACAATCCTTCAACTTTTTTGTATTTTATAATTTTGTTTTGGATTGAGGCGGGAGGATATTTGTACAAGTACCTGAGAAATATGTACATATGTAAAATTCCAGACACATACATATGTATTTATGTATGTGCATATATTTTCTTTCAATTTGATAATAAACAACTTCGCAAGGTTTTTCTGGTAAAGAATTTAAATCTCACTTAAAAATTTAATATCCCAGTAGATAATTTCTGGAGTCAAAAGCCCTTCCATTTTATATTCCTTTCTTTTTTGTATGGAGTGGCACAAATTGAAGGGCTTCTTCTTTCGCTACCCATGAAAGGCCTAAATATTATAAATTTATGCATTCGCGTAAATTGTAAATGGATAAGCCCTTCTAGAAGGCATGTAAGAAGCACTTTTTTCAGCCCTTCTTGGGTAGGCCTCTTAGAATGGCTTTACTTAGGAAGGCCTATCTAAATTATCTTCTGGGATGCTGCGTTTCTTTTAGTGCATTTCATGCCAATACATGCATGTTCCACTTACCACATTTTGTAGTGTTGACACAGCTACATACATATGTACATACATACATATGAGTCACTTGACCATGGCTCTTGACACGCTAGTCTTTGTAAGACGAATCCATAATAGTTATTATTTGCTCCATGGTCTTTTGTCCCAATGCAAATACTTGTGCAGAAGGAAATTTATTTTTAATTTTTTTTGTTTGATGTTAGAAGATTTCTGCGTTGGAAGAAAGCCATAAAATCAACTGGTTCTTGGCACGGGGTATACATGCGTACATAATACATACGTAGATGCGTAGGGGATAAGCAATATGAAGTGCAAGCACTATACATTTTTGTCGGTAAGTGGTATCTACTTGCATTTGGGTGCATAAAGGGAACAAGATTTGCAAAAATCGTTATGACCAATTTATGTTCACCATTAGCCATTATCCAAATCTAAGCGACATGCTTTTGTTGCTCGTGGCATATGCATCTAAGTGCTCTTAAGCAAGTGAGTACGTGCTTGTGTGCTTGGGTTATCATTGTATACATTGCCCTTGATTCGCTGCAGGCAGGTTAATGGCACAAAAATTGTGCTTTGCCTGTATGGGGTGAGTGAATGTGCTTCTTGTGCAAACTTCTCTCTCCTAAATGTTAAATTTACACTTTCAATTTCAACCTAATTATTTACGTAGTAATAACATACATACATACATACATATAGCAACAACAAAGGTAAACCTCTTTAATTAAAGGCGACAACTGGTTAACGCCTCACAAGCGACTGGTTAAAAAGAAAAATAAATAAACAAATAGGCGTAACATTGAATAAGTAAAATTAACAGCCGTCAAAATTGTAATGAACACATAGTGATTGTGTTTGTGCATACTGATATAGAATTTCTAAGATTATTATTCGTAGTATGATACACAATAAAATCTAGGCTCGAATCGTAACAGTCGTGAGAGAGCAACTCGTCACGTGAAAATACATATTTCGGATTATAACGGCCGTGAACGTAGTGCTCGTCTCGTAATTCGGTACACGATACGAGCAGTACGATCACGGCTGGTAGTTTAGGTACTGAAAACGCGTTGAAACTACGTCATAAATAACGTGTTTACAAGCTTTTATTTTAAATGTGTGTGAATTTACATATTCCATTTATTTTATCAGTTTTAATGAATTTCGCATTTATCATCTCAGGTTGGGACCTCTCTTCTGTGGATGATATTGAATGCATTGGTATTTCACATGGCATTGTGGGCGTTATTACTTTGCCAAATGTATACGAACCGCATTTGGTGATAGTGAAGGAAGCTACACCCGTTGGCGTTCTTCATGCACCCAGTCTTGTGTATAAAATCAAATCGATTTGCATATTAAGTGCTGATGAACCAGACACAGTATTAACTTCCTGCACCCGGCACTCGAGGCAAGTACTTAAGGGACATATTATTCTTACTAAATCAGAAAACTTTACAAAATGTCATCTTTTTTTTACAGAAGCGCCAACAGCACACCCACACATTCACCCTCGTCGAATGCTTCTACTACAAGCAGCACCGGCAACACCCCTGTCGCCAAGACAAAACTTTTTGAGGGTGCTCAACTAATGAATAAAACTTGGGGTGCTGTCAAAATTGCCGGCAGCACTATTAAGAATACCACCCAGCAAGCAGCCGCGTTGGCTTCCAATCAAATGAAGTCTTCTGTGGGCATACGTGATCCGTTGCGCATTGCGAAGCGCATTACAGAGGAGCTGCATAAGATTTTTGATGAAACGGATAGTTTTTACTTTAGTTTCGACAGCGACATCACCAACAATTTGCAGCGACAGAGTGGTGCTGGCGACCAAAAGCGGCAATACGATGAGCGTTTCTTTTGGAATATGCATATGATTGCCGATATTTTGAAACTTAAAGTAAGCTTGTTTTTTTTTATTGTTGATGCTTCCCACCGGGCAGGAGTATGATGTTTTTTGGAACGAATTTCGGAGATCCCATTTAAATTTTGGTATGTCTCCAAACCAAAATTGACAAGGAATGATGGAAATTTGTTCCAATGTATATAAACTTTCCTAGTTGGCATCCGTTCATTACTGCATTTATAATATGTAAATGCTTGAAATTTTCTTTGTTGTAGGACAATACGTGGGTATTGCCGATTATACAAGGATTCGTGCAGGTCGAACCTTGCGTGATAGGTAATGAATGCTTAACATTGGCGCTAGTGTCGCGCCGGTCACGATATCGCGCGGGTACGAGGTAAGTGCCTAGATGTTGGCTTTTGCTTGAGTTGAGTGTAATAAAGCTGTAAGATATTTTTCTTTTTTCCTTTTTTGTTTGCAGATATAAGCGAAGGGGCGTTGATGAACAGGGGGACTGCGCTAATTACGTTGAAACGGAGCAAATATTGTCATTTCGTCATCATCACTTGAGTTTTACGCAAATTCGCGGTTCGGTACCAGTCTATTGGAGTCAACCCGGCTATAAATACAGGCCACCACCACGCCTGGACAGGGGTAAGCAGCAAGTGTGATTGTTTGAAAATATCAACTCCATTCGTCTATCTCGTTACAGGCGAGCAAGAAACGCAGGAGGCATTCGAACTACATTTTACCAAAGAAATATCGCTATACGATGGTGTTTGTATTGTCAATTTGGTCGAGCAAAGCGGCAAGGAGAAACTTATTGGTGATGCTTACGCAAGACATGTGATAAAATACAATAATGATCGCTTAATATATGTTACTTTCGATTTCCATGATTACTGGTGAGTAGTTGCACATCTAATAAGCCTCGTATTACTCCTGATTTATAATTTTTTTGCTATCAATTGCAGTCGCGGTATGCGTTTTGAAAATGTTTCCGCACTTGTTGAAGCGCTTGCACCCGAAGCAGGCGCTATGGGCTTTCATTGGCGTGATCAGCGTGGTGTTATATGTAATCAAAAATCAGTATTTCGTGTTAATTGTATGGACTGCTTGGATCGCACAAATGTCGTAGAGACAGCAATAGGCAAGGCTGTGCTGGAATCACAGCTAGTTAAATTGGGTTTATCACCACCATACTCACCCATTCCAGAGCAATTGAAATCGCCGTTTATGATATTGTGGGCAAACAATGGCGATATAATTAGTCGACAGTATGCGGGCACAAATGCGCTGAAGGTTTAGAAAATATTATCTGTCCTTGATATTTTATTAAATTTTATTTTCTTGTGTTTACAGGGCGATTATACGCGAACCGGTGAACGCAAGATAAGCGGTATGATGAAAGACGGCATGAATTCAGCAAATCGGTCAGTTAAGTTTTTTGTTTGTTATGCCTTTTAAATTTAAGATTCCCGTAATAAGTTGCTGGTATTACTTTGAAGTTTGTTTTTAGTTTAAGTAATTTACGGGCGGAACTTGGAACTTTTTATTTGTAATTTATGCTGCCATATGCCAACTCGAGTACCATAACACTTCCTCTCTCTTCTCTCTCTCTCTCTCTCTAAAAAAAAATGTGGCGCTCTCTGTCACAGTTTTGTGTTTTTTTTTTGTTTTTTTTTAATTATGTTGTTTTAATTAAATTTCTTATTAACAGTTTGTGCATTTTTAACACACTTCTCTACTTCAAACAAAGAAATCGTTACACTAAGCCAATATAAAAAACAACTCAGTGCGTAATTTCTAAACAAATATCTTTAAACATTCGCTCTTCGTAGTTTCCTCATACAAAATTTCGCTGATTCCTTCCGGCAATGCATAATTGATTTAATGCAAGGCAAGCTGGTCGAGGCCAATCAATTGAAAGAGGATGAAGTTATGAAGACAATACTACACATTCTCTGCCCGTCTACACCGGCGCCTACACGCGGTTACTATCACGCCGGTGTGCTCGGTCCGGAATTACATTTTCTGGAAAATATCGTAAACGCAAGGTGCGCCGCTCGCGATAAGCCACGAAAGAAGTCGAAAACTCGCTCTTTATTTAACTTTGTTGCTCCTTTTGTTTCCATTGTCTTACTACTATCGTTTGAAAAGGTATTTTTCTTTTGATTTTTATTTGGAGTTTGGTTTACTGCCTTTCCATTTTTATATTTTTTTGTTATAATTTTAAAGCACAAATTCACCCCTTGATTGCATGCGCTTTGTATTCGATTTTTCCTCTTTTTGCGCGCATAAACTTTACACACTTACCTTACTCATTTGTAAAATGCTTTTTTTTACTTGTGATTGAATTTCAGTTATTATCTCGCGCGTTTTAAAGATTCTTATCGTCAAGCCACCATCGATCTAATGCTCGGAAATCAAGTTTCTGCAGAGTCACTGAACGCGTTGGGCGGACAGGCGGCACCCGATGAAACAGATGCATTGGAAAGTGCCGAACAAGCCAAGCTGTTGGTGGAGGATTGTCGGCGCTTGCTGCTAGGTTCAGCACAATATCCAGTGGGCTCATGGGGCCTCATCGATGCCGATCCGACGTGAGTACATATATATGAATAAAAACTTTATACATATTTTATTATTTTGGTTTGCTAATATTGGAACTCTTACACCTAGTACGGGTGATCTTAATGAAACCGACGTTGACACGGTTCTGCTGCTCACAGACGATTGCTACATTGTTGCCGAATATGACTCACATTTGGATAAAATTGTACGTTTCGAAAAGGTTCAGTTGCAAAATATTACGCTGATCGAGTTAGGCATGTATCAGCAGACCAAATTGTTTCAAGGCTCAGCGCCAGCACTGCTCTGCTTGCGCCTGAACTACAGTGTGGAAGGTGTGGACGGCTATTTCCATATGTTTCGTTCGGCCAACATACGCTTTTTCAATAATATGGTTTATGTGATCAAGACACAGGAGGAAGTTATGGGTAAGAATGATAGGCCAGATTAGCAAGACTTACACACACAATTTTATTATATGAAAATACTTGAACTTTCATTTACCTAATTCGGCTCTTTTTACTGT